TCCTTAGAGACATTTGTTTAATTTGTGCATGCCATGATGCACAATTTTTTTGTGCTTTTGTGATGCTTCAGGAGTTCGCAGACCTTTTCCAGAAAGGGTTGAATAGTAAATATTTTAGATTGTGGGCTATATATCTCTGTGGCACCTTCTCAACACTGTAAGGCAAAAGCAGCCACAGACAATAGATAACCAAGCACTCATGGCTATGTTCCAGTAAAAGTTTATTTATGGGCACTGAAATTTAGGTTTCATAATTTTCATGTGTCACAAAATACTTTTTCAGTATTTCCACCGTAGTTTGCAGTATGTAGAAAACAGGCAGCGAGTTAGATTTGGCCCTCTGCATAGTTCACAGACCTCCAATGTGCCAATATCAGTCTTAAAGACAGATAAGATTCTTACTGTATTTAATGCTTCAGAATAAATTGTGCCTGCGTTTTCACAGTGAGAGGGGCAGGTATTTATAACCCAATTGTGAAATTGTCCTTTGGGATAAAATTTGGCATTTAAAACCTAAAACAGAAAGACAATTGTTCTAAATTTGAAAAATCACTAGCACTGAAGCCCAAATTAACATTGCTGTGTTAAACTGTATTTCAATAAATTTCTTAAATAACAAACATTCACATGTTTAAGTTTTTTAAATAAAAGCTGACTAATTATAATATTATTCTGGAATTAAATACATACAGGAATTGAAAAGTACTTTATACAGTACTGATACATTATTTTAAAAATTTACTCTCAAGCATATTTCTTTTCCAACAAAAGGGCACCAAGACAAAAATCCTGAACTTGGAATCTCTAGGGATTTTTCAAAAAACTTAAATCATTTTTAAAGTTAACAAATAATTGGAAGTCAAGCCATTATGACTTCATTGTAGCAGGTATTTATCCCTGTAATGACTGAACTATGTTGTTAGTCCATTCCATAGTGGTACCAGATGCTGGCTAATTCTAGTCCCTGGAGATGGAACTTGACATATCACAGTATTTGCTCCTTGACCTCCCAATCCTAAGAGTGTTTTACTTTATCTTGCAGCACAGTGATTGTAAAGAAAATATCTGTTTTTAATAAATTTGCATTTACATTTTTTTCAGTAGGAATTTGGCACTATGAGTCTCTATGAATTTTTGTAATAATAGGATTTTCTCCAGAGTGCTTGAAATCTGTTTGTTTTGGGGAAAAATATGTTGTTTTCTTTTTATGCTGTTATCACCTTCCAGTATGGTAGGTTTATTTCATCCTATAAATATGTTTTCTCCCTTGGTAGACTTCCAGGTATTTTTTTACAGATATCCCCATTCTTCATGTCTTTAATTTTGAAACTGACCAACAACTACCCACAGGTTACACAAAAATGGATAAATGAACAGAGAGAAAAATCAAGATAGGGAATTATTATGCTAAACAGCTTGACTTCCCTTTTTCATTGTTTACCTAAGAGATTTGTATCTCTTTAAACTATACTACAAAACAGCAAGACAAAAGTCATTAACTTCTTTCCAGTAATAGAACATGCAATTACTTAGAGTTTCAAATTGAATTTCAAATATAACTTAACCTGAGTGATTTATTTGCCAGCAATGTTGAACAAAATTTTAAGAAATATATAGTTGGGTCTACTGGAAAAACTGGATATCCACATGCAAAAGAATGAAGTTGTGCCCTTACTTAACACCATATATGAAAACTAATTCAAAATGGATCAAAGATCTAAACATATGGACTAAAACTATATCACTCTTAGAAGAAAATAAAAGGCAGAAGTTTCCCAGTTTTAAATTTAATGATTTATTGAATGTGACATAAAAGTAAAAAGAAAAAAATGGACAAATTTGATTTCATAAAAGTGAAAACCACTCATGCATCAAATGACGTTATCAACAGAGTTAAAAGGCAACCTACAGAATATTAGAAAATATTTGCAAATCACATATGTGATAAGGAATTAATGTCCCAAATATAGAGAGAACTCCTAAAACTCAACAAAACCAATTAATTAACCAATTAAAAATGCACTCAGGGTATCTCTTCTAAGATATACAAATGGCCAATAAGAACCTGAAAATATGCCCACCATCATTAATCATTTGGGAAATGCAAATCAAAATCACAACAAGATATATTTCACTGTCATTATAATAGTTCTCAAAAATACAGACTATCACAAGTGTCGATAAGGATATGGATAAATTAAAACCTCTGTACACTTAGGATAGGAATGTAAAATTGTTTAATTGCTGTGGGAAACTGTAAAACAGTTCCTCAGAAAATTAAAAATATACTTATATGATCCAGCAATTCCACTTCTGGTAATATACCCAAAAGACCTGAAAACAAGGCCTTGAAGAGATATCTGTACATCATGCCCATAGCAGCAGTGTAAGAGGGTTCTCCTTTTCACCCACATCCTCCCCAGCATTTATTGTTTCTAGTTTTGATAGGGGCCATTCTCACTAGTGTGAGGTGGTATCTCATTGTGGCTTTGATTTGCATTTTCCTGATAATAAGTGATGTTGCACATATCATTTTTCATCTGCCTGTTGCCATTTGCATTTTTTATTTGGAGAATTGTCTTTTCCACTCTCCTGACCATTTTTGCACTGGGCTGTTTGCTTTGTTTTTGTTGAGTTATATAAACTCTTTGTGTAGCTCTTTGCTATCAGTCCCTTATCTTTTACCTGACTATTTCTTAGTCCATCCAGCGTATTATGAAAAAATACCATAGACTGTGTAACTTAAACAACAAATATAGATTTCTCCTTATTCTGAGTGCTGGGAAACCCAAGATCATGGCCCAGATAGATGAGTGTTTTATGAGAACACAGCTTCCTAGTTCATCAATAGCATCTTCTATCTATGTGTCATCTTCTAGCAGAAGGGAGAGAGTTCTTTGGAGCTTCTTTTGTAAGAGCAGAAATTCCATTTGAGGGCTCCACCCTCATGACCTACTCATCTCTTAAAGGCCGCACCTCCCAATACCATCACATTGGGGATTAGGTTTTAACATCTACAGGAATATTTATGAGGGATATAAACATTCAGCCTATAGCAATTGCCCTAAAAGAACATTTCTGTCCATATTCAAAAGCTATATATTTGTTTTATCTTTATTCTAGGTTGTCTATCACTGAGTTTCTGCAAGTGCCTCAGCTTAATAGTAGAGTTAAAAAAAAAGATGGGAGGGGAGAATAAGACTTCCAGTAACTTTTCCTTTTTGTACGCAGACATTTCTTTCCTTCCTTTCCTCTTTTCCTCTCTCTCTCCCTTCTTTCAGTCCTTCTCTCTCTCTCTCTCTCTCTCTCTCTCTCTCTCTCTCTCTCTCTTTTTTTTTTTTTTTACCACAAGTTGGTACTTCCATACAGAGAGAGACAGAACAGAATTAGTTGAAAGTCGTTCTGAGAACTTACCCTGAGCTGACTGTACAACTAAGCAGGGGAACCCCCTACCCTCTTTTTCCAGAGTGAGAGGTTGGACCCAATTCAAATTTACACCATCCCTGAGGTGTCCAAGTGCTGGACATTTGCTTTTCCCAAATTAGTTGTATATAATCACTTGGCACTGAAATGCAGATCAGTTAGGCCCAAGTAGTTTAATCCCCATTAATAAGATTGTTCTAATGTGTCCCTTATAAAAAAGGAGACCAATAGGCAAGATAACCTTTGCTGTAGCACAGACTGTCAACAGCAGATCAGTAGCTCCTCTTGCTAAGCCTTAATAACTTTCCCAGATAATGTTCCCTATTTACAATTTTTGCTTAAAGAAAAAGATAATCTCATCTATTCCCAAGGTTTAAGTTTCATATATAAACTTAAACTGCCAAATTTGTCTTCAGCTTAGACTCCATTTCAAACCATTATGTTCATCTGGTCATTTATTTGACATTTTCAAGGATATTTGGGACTCAATTAGTCAATTACCTCCAAAGACCTCTAGGAACACAACTGTCCTTCAATAAGTTCGTTTTGTTCATTTTATCGCTTGTTTTAGTGAGTGAGAATGCACACCATGGAGAATCATGGGTCATATCAGTTAGAAAGGACATGTTATAAAAAATTTGGACTTGCGTTTAAGTGCTTTAGGAAAGGGTTCATGGAAGAGGGACTTTGCTCTGGATTGGAAGCTGTATGAAGTAGAAATAATTATAAAACTGAGTATTTTAATACTTGTTATCTAGAAGGACTGAGCATTATCTACTTTACTGAGGCTAAAATTGTAATTAGTAAGCTCTTCATCATCCAGATCTCCTCAGAGGAGTCACTCCTGACCTTTCCATGAAGCCACTCTTCTCTTAAGCCACTAGCACATCCTTCCTTTGGAGCTCGAATCAACATCTGAAAGAATGTTATTCGTTTATTCGTTTATCATCACCACCTCAATGGAATTTAACTTCATAAAGGAATGGCCTTTGTCTGTCTTGTTCACTGCTGTTAACTCCAACCCCTTCGAACCTGCCAACCTCAGAACCAAGGACTCAAAATATATACTGAGTGAATACCACTGTGTTCATTTCTGTGACTACAACCACAAACTTCCAGCAATTGTGCTTTTTGTTTGTTTGTAAAGGATAGGGCACTCAACACAAAGGAAGTTAAAGCAGGAACCCAAAAAAGTGTCTTTTATCAAGTGTGCTCAGTCTCCTGTGGTCACAATAAGTCAGGTCGTGCCAGGTCCACACAGAAACTTAATCTCAAATTCATCCTCTCCCTCTTTTTTTAACCGTACAGGATTATTCTTGGCTTTTACTTCCCTAACCGCTTTCCCACACAGCCGCCCCCTAGAGCAGCAACCCACTGCCCTGCGCAAGCGCCGCTGGCGGCGCCACAGCGCCCGGGGGTGCACAGTGCGCATGTGCACCCAGAAGCAGCGAGGCGGGAAGTGTTGCGCAGGCGCATTTGGCTGACTCGCTAGTTGGGGCGCTCTTGGAGGCGGGGGCCCCTCTGGGCAGTCACAGAGGCCGTATTCCTTTAAACCGTGAGTTTCGGACGGTTTGTTCATGGCGTGGGATTATGAGGGATTAGAAGTGAATTCTGGATCGTGGCTTTGGTCTTGTCGCCAGGCGGCCCCCACCCCCCCCTTCCGAGCCCGCTGACCTGCGGCGGGAAAGTCGCGCGCCTGCGCACTGAGCATTGTCTGAGTGAGGGCGGAAGGTCCTCCCAGGTGAGCTCGCGGCCCGCGCTCCCAGAAGGATCCCATTCATTCCACCTCATCCTCTTCTAGCCCCTCGTGGCCAGGGGCGTATCAGTTCTCTACCAACTCGCTGGGGACCTCGGACGAACCTCCTGCCGCTCCCTAGCAGCAATCAAACGATTTCCTCCATCAGTGCTACTCAGGTCAAACCGCTTTCCCCGCTGAGGCCTGCCACCCCCGAACCCCCAAACACACACACCTGCGCGAGCAGAGCGGCCCGGACGCGCTGTGTCAGCCGTCCCCCCACCACGCCTCCCTTCCAGGGCCGCCGGGGCGCGGAAGTCTCCCCTTCAAGCCCCGGCCGCTGTTTCCGTAAGGTAGAAGAGAGGTACATGGAATCCTTAGAAAAGGCCCACTGTCTTCCTGGGGATGTGGACGTGTGATGCGTTTTGCCCTTGGGGGTATGATGTTTTAGTGCTTGGTTCAGTGAGTGATTGAAACCTTTCATCTCCAGGATCCTGAATTTCTCGGCGGCTTTGCTCCCCACCTGTGAACATGACCCCTTAGCTGGCCCTTCGCATCCCAATTTTGTGATAGAGGCTTCTTTGGAGATTCAGATGGATGAACCAATGGCTTTTACTCCCCTGTGTGAACGGCTTCAGGCGGATGGCTCGTTAAAAAAATATGAGCAGAATTATAAACTACCAGGTATGTATTTAATTCTAAAAATGCACGGTTTCAAATTCTGTATTTGCAGTTATTTGAAACAAGAAAACTTTCTGAATCTCAAAGGTGAGTTATATGCTTATAGAGAAACATTTTACAAATCAGTAAAGCTTAGTGAGTTCTAGATTTAAGATTGGATTGCGTTTTATTTTATTTTAAAGGATACCAATCTATCTTTTTTTAAGATTTAAGATTTTTTTTAAAGATTTTTTTAAGATTATTTATGCATACAAGAGCTGGGGTACAGGCCAGAGGTGTAGGGGATGAGAGTATTCACCAGAGACAGAGTGGGGAACAGACAGACTGACTGAAATACACTGCTGAGGGGAGCAGCGGGCCAGTCAGGAGAGTTCCACTGCACCATGTGGGTATCTCCCTGGCTGGGATCAAACTTGTGCTGCTGTGGCTGCAGATAGCTTCATAGGTTGTGTCTTAACCCCTTGTGCCACCAGGGAGGCCCCCAGATTGCATGGTCCAACCATGTCATTTTATCGATGACAGTGCGAAGGTCTGTATATTAGCAGTTGTCCAAAGAACAAAGTTTGTTGATAGCTAGACTAGAATTTCTCTTCTCCTTGACTTATGACTCCTTTCTCTTCATCATATTGCAATAAGCTTGGATTGAGAAGTCGATGAGGGATTTTCATTTAGGTATTCAAAAGTAGAATTCACTAAGAAAAATAAATGAAATGTTCTTAGCAATAATAAAACACAAGGTCTGGGAGTACATCATGAACTCCATCCTGAAAAAAATATGATGGGACATGCTTCTGCTTTCTAACTAAAACTGAACTCATCTTTTGTGTCATATGAGTATTTTTCCTGATGTCCCTATTTTTGGTCAGTATTATGTCATTTACCTATGCTTATAACTTTGGAGTTGCCTTTGATTTATGCTTTATATTTGCTCCCCATGTCCAGTTACTAACTTTATCTTACTACTTTTTTTTTTTTAAAGAATGATTTATTTTATGCATATGAGAGCTGGGGTACAGGCCAGAGGTGTGGGAGTTTCACCAGAGACAGTGGGGAACAGAACAAGCAGATTGACTGAAATACATTGCTGAGGGGAGCAGCAGGTGAGACAGGAGAGGTCTGCTGCGCCATGTGGGTATCTCCCTGGCCAGGGATTGAACTCATGCTGCAGAGGCTATGGACAGCTTCATAGGTTGTGACTTAACCCTTTGTGCCGCCAGGGAAGCCCATATCTTACTACCCTTTTTTTTTTTTTTTTTTTTTTTTTTTTAAGATTTACTCATTTATGCACACAAGAACTAGGGTACAGGCCAGAGGTGCAGAGGGTGAGAGGATTCACCAGAGACAGAGTGGGGAACAGAACAGATTGACTGAAATACACTGCTGAGGGGAGCAGCAGGCGAGTCAGAAGAGGTCTACTGTACCATGTGGGCAGCTCCCCAGTCAGGGATCGAACTCATGCAGCAATGGCTGGTGACAGCTTCACAGGTTGCGTCTTAACCCCTTGCACCACCAGGGAGGCCATCTTACTGCTTTTTATGTATGGCATTGCCTCTTCTTCCATTCCTACCACATGAATTTATTCTCTTACACTTTACTCCTGAATTACAATGAAGTTTCTTACTGAAACTGTCTGCTCCCAATTCTTTTCTATCCTCCAGTTCATCTTGTGCTACTGGAATAACCTTAACATGCCACTTTCATCCAATTTCGTAAATGCTGCCCCTCTTCCCTTCAATTTTTTTGTAATTGCCTGCTTTTCACAGTTCAATTTTCCTTTATTAGTCCTTGGACATAATACAGTAACCCAGTCCTTGCATTCTTGTATTGTTTTAGCTCTCTGTATCTTGTCTCTTCAGATACATCATAAGCTCTCTGAAGGCAGTATCTCCTTTACATGTAATGTACATTTGGCTGAGTGTATGAACGAACGAATCTGGCTTTGTTTTTGATTTATATTGAAATGAAAGCTACTGTTCTAATACTCTTATGAAAAAAATACTGGGAAATAAAGAGTGAATTTTATTCCAGATTTCACCAATCTCTCTGAGTGCCCATGATAGTAATAATTCGTTCATCCAGCAAACATGCTAGGCTAGGCACTGTTTTAACTCAGAGCTCAGTATACAGTGAATTATACAAACAAACAACATATATTGGTGTAACTAATAGTCTAGTGGGAGGAAAACAGTGATCAAATGAACAGACAGGAAACTTGATACTGGCTAAGTACCCCAAAGATACTCAGGTAAAGCAAGTAATGGGAAGAGTAATTCTTGAAATAAAATGTCAAAGACTGGACAGTTGAGCCAATCATTTGAAACCATAAGGTAAGAGTATTTGAAGCAAATAGAAAATAAAATTCTTCCTCCACCTGTTATCTCCCTGCTTAAAAGTTTTATGATTTTGGGCCTCCCCGGTGGCGCAGTGGTTGAGCACTGGGTTGCGAAGCTGCCCGCAGCCTCTGTGGCGCCGGTTCAATCCCCGGCTGCTCCCCGGCCACCGGAGGAGGGTCCCACATGGCGCGCAGACCTCTCCTGCCGCCCGCTGCTCCCCTCAGCAGTGTACTTCTGTCCTTCTGCCTGCTCTGCTCCCCACTCTGGCTCTGGTGAATTCTCTCACCCTCCTGTGCTTCTGACTGTACCCAGTGCATGTATAAACAAAAACAAACAAATAAATAAATAAAACATGCCTCTATAAAAAAAAAAAGTTTTATGATTTTTACTTTGCTTTACTTCTCTGCCTTTTCCTTCCTTGGTCACATTGAATTTCATTATTTCCTCCCTTTACCCTCTCTCCTTTTCTGTGTCTTTGCATACATAGTTTCTTCTTCCTGAAATCACTTTTTTTCCACAGCTGAATATTCCAAAACACAGCTTAATTATCACCTGAAGTTTTCAGCACCTTCAGAAGTATTCATTGCCTATCCCTACTGCCTTCTACTTTATAATATGTGCATTCCTGTATTATTAATAAGGATTTTGTATGAAGAGTAAACTTTAACATTTGTCTTTTCTTCCAGATTAGAGAATAGGGATTTCACCAATTTTGTTCTTTTGTTTTGTTTTGTTTAAAAAAATGCTAAGCGGGGCCTCCCTGGTAGCGCCGGTGGTTGAGCGCAGCGCTGTGAAGCTGTCTGCAGCCTCTGCAGCACCGGTTCGATTCCTGGCCCGCCAGGGAGAGTCCCACATGGCGCAGCAGACCTCTCCTATCTCGCCCACTGCTCCTCTCAGCAGTATATTTCAGTCAATCTGCCTGTTCTATTCCTCACTCTGACTCTGGTGAATCCTCTTACCTCCTGCACATCTGGCCTGTAACCCGGTTCTTGTATAGATAAATGAATCTTTAAAAAAAAAAAGCTACGCATTTTTAAAAATATTGTTAAAGAATGAGTATAAGTAATAGCTCTGTGAAATTGGGCAAATTGTTTAACCTTCCTGAATAAGGCTTCCTTATCTGAAAAATCAGGATGCAGTTTCTGTTGTCAGTGTCACTGTGCTGTTGTGAAATTTAAAAGATAATACATGTGAAAGTGCTTTGAAAATGTCTTAAAAACTATTAATACTATACAAAGTAGTACAACCTTAGGTAGCTCATGCTTGGCCTAGATATTATAATACAATCTGATGACTCTTAAGAATATGGTTTTTTGTTGTATATAATAGTTTATTGATTTTTGTAGTATTGCCTCTCCTTATTTTAACCATCTTTGTTTTCTTAAAGAGCTTTTATTTGTTTAAAAGCAGCAGTTTATTTGCTGACAAAGACGATTCTATTCATAATTGGGGCAACTTTTTATAAATACATCATTTCTAAAAGCTTTACTAGGTCTTTTCTCTGAGCGTATAATGTGAATATTCAATACATAAAACTTTTCCAGGCCTGTAAGATTTTGTGTCTTCAGGGGAAGAAAATAGTTTTCAAGATTGCATTGTGTCCTTGTCATGCCATCTAGTGATCACAGCACAAATTGTTGATTTATTTTTTTTAATTTAGCTTTGTTTTGTGGTATTCTGTGCTATGTTAATGTATCTATTAGCATGTATTTCTAAACTATAGAAATCTGGTGTGTATGATTCTTGACTTGCAGTTTTGTTAGTTTGAGGTGTCTGTGAGTTACACCCACATGATAGATTTTATTATAGCGATTTTTTATTTTTAATCCAATTACTCATGTTTTAGAATTTGTTTCATTGAGGTTTTAACTTAAACTATAAAATATACTCATTAATTTTAACTGTGATTCTTATTTCCTTGATAGGCATTAAAAAAGATATTGAGAAGCTTTATGAAGCTGTACCACAGCTTGGCAATGTGTTTAAGATTAAAGATAAAATTGGAGAAGGTAATTTGGGGATATGTTTTATTATCTTTATTAATTTTTTCTTCTCTTTTTCCCATGTAACCTTGACTTTCATTATTTCTTACTGAAAAATATACTTTTTAAAAAACATTAAGGCGCAATTTTATTACTAATAGATGATGAGATGATTTGGGACTATAATCCCAAATAGTAAATATAAGAAGCAAATCTTTACATCTTTTTACTGATTTTAAAAAAAAGTTGAAAAATAAATTGTCTTACAGGTACTTTCAGCTCTGTATATTTGGCCACAGCACAGTTACAAGTAGGACTTGAAGAGAAAATTGCTCTAAAACACTTAATTCCAACAAGTCATCCTATAAGAATTGCAGCTGAACTTCAGTGTCTAACAGTGGCTGGGTAGGCAATTTAAAGATATTCCGATTGAACTGACTGTATATAATTTTTGAACTTTTTTATTAGATGGAGGGATGATGAGATTTTCCATGAATTAAACATCTTTAGTTAGGTGTTTCCAGTTTGCTAGCACTTTCTGGAATGATTGGTTAAATTTATATTAATGTTTAGAGTGGATTTTCCTTGGGGCTCAGCTTGAATTCCTATTCTTTTACTAGATCTTTTTCTATTCTTCCTGCCATGTCATAAACTTTGACTTCGGTCATCCAGCTAGTTTTTTTATAATATGCAAAACTCATATTTTACATCTCCCTAGCTTTTGATAGCCTCATCTTATATTCTATGTGAACAACAGAATAATCCGGCATGTCTTTTTCATCAGTGTCTGCTAGATCATTCCTATTAACATACAGACATTATTTAGAATCCCTTATCCTCCCTGTACTGCCATCCTCCTAGCTGCTCCATTATTTCTTTGTTACCTATCACACCCACACTTCTCAGAAATTATCTATACATACTGTTTTCACTTCCACACCCGCTTTCACTATACACACAGTATGACTGCTCTCAACACAAGCTGAAACTACTTTAGGGAGAGTCAGCCATGACTTCCATTTTGCCAGTTCCTCTTTCCGTTCATATGTTGCCTTTTGACTTCTGTACTGCCACTTACTCCTTGTTTTCTTCCTGCCTTATTTGGCCTTTCGTATTCAGTATCCTTTGTCAGCTCTCTTCTGTCTGACCTCTAAATGTTGTTGCTCCTCATTGTTTGCTCTTGAGTTTCCCTTCTCTGTTCCTTTCCCTGGATAGTATAATGTATTTTCACATGACTTTAAATAGATAGTAAACTCTCTAACTGCATTTTTTTTTTCTTTTTTAGAATTAAATTATTTTTATCAAAGTAATCTTGGTTTACAATACTCTGTTTTAGGAGTACTTTTCACACCAGTACAATGATAACAAATGTATGTTATCACACCATGCCACCAGTAATACTCCAGTATAGTTTATTGGGCCCCACCCTTCCCTTCCCGTAACCTCAGTTCTGCAGTCTGATTTCAAGTGTTTGTTTTTGGTTTAGTTTTGCTTGTTCCTTTGTTTTGTTTCTTTATATGACGCACATGAGTAAAATCATCCAGTATTTGTCTTTCTCCTCCTTACTTACTTCACTTAACATAATCCCTTCTCATTCCATACATGCTTTCAAAAATAAAAGATTTCATAATTTTTTATAGCTGAGTAGTATTCCATTGTGTAAATATACAATATCTTCTTAATCCACTTATCTGTTGTTGGACACTGGTTTTTCCATAGCTTGACTATTGTAAATAGTGTTGCAACTAACCTAGGAGTACATATATCCCTTTGAATTAGTATTTTCATATTCTTGGCTAGATAGTAAGAAGAATGTTGTGACAGGAATGTGATGAGGGACACAGTAGTCATGGAGCAGGTTTGCAAGGCAAGACTATGCTACTGAGCAGAAGTTCTTATGCCTTTTATTGAAGCACACAGGCTAGTAAAAGCTGATCATGTGAAAATGGTATGAGGAATAAAGTCCAGGGGTGGGAATGGAATGGGGGACAAAGTTTTACGAGGAACAGAGAAGGGGACATCGTGACCATGCGTCAAGAGACATTTGCGTCAGCAAAGTATTATCACAGGCAGAGTTATCCCAAGACCACCATGAAGATAGTCACATAATCAGGTCAGCAGTGGCCTAGGCATCCCCAGGCCTGCCTCATGATACGGGCTATACTCCATAGGTAGTCAAGGAATGCTCTGGTATGATTTGTAAATAGCAAATAGGTCACAGTTGCCTGTGAGTGACCAGTTAGTAGCCAGCTCATAGGAACCCACAGGAGAATTGCTGGATCATGTGGTAGATAAATTTTGAGAAATCTCCACAGGGGCCAGGATAGTCTACATTCCCACCAACAGTATATGAGTGTTCATTTTTCTTACTGTCTTACCAATACCTATTGTTTCTGGTCTTTTTGGTATGTGGCCTCATAACTCTTAACTGCAAATTTGTATTTGTCCACCTGACCATTTGATATTTCCGTTTGTGTACCTAATAACCATCTTAGACTTAACATGCCAAAAATCTAAATTTTGCATCTCTTCACCTGCCAAAAGAGAGAACAGAAATCCTTTTGCAACAACTTATTTTCATCTGCTCATCTCAGCAAATGACACCACGAGTAGATACTCAGTAGCTAAGACCAGAAACCTAGTAATCATCCTCAATATCTATTTCTCTCCTAAACCATATCCAAAGGCTGGACATTTTGCCTCCAAAATATATCAAGAAATCCACCTTTGTTTTTATCTTCCAATCACGACTTCAGTCAAAGCCTAGATAACTTACTACAGTAGCCTGCTCTGACCCATCTTTCCATACCCGCCCCTCCATCCCCATGGTCACACAATAGCCAGAATAGCCTTTAAAATATAAAGATATGTAAGTGTATAATATGAATGGGATACTGTTTGATCCAGCACTTATAATCTTTATATGGTTTCCAAAATACATTTACTTTGAAAAAAAATGCAACCTTATCCCCTGCTGGTCTCCCCATTTCCTCTGCTGTGCTCCCATTTCTTTCATTCCTTGGATTTGTCTCAACTCACTCACCTCAGGGCCACTACCTGTACTGTTTCCCCATATGCTGACTTCACACCTTTCTGATCTGAGCAGAAGTGGCACCATTTTCTGTAAAGTAAATTAGACTCACCTATTTATCATTGTTGATAAAGTCAATCTCTTTCAAAACCCTTGTAATCTGTTTTTATCCGTATTGTCCACTAGATAATAAACTCCATGTGGGCAGAAATCAAGTTATTATTTTTCTTTATTGGCAAATCACAATGCTGATTAAATATTTACTAAATGAATGAACAAGCCTATTTCTTTGTTTTACCCTGTTACCCTGTTTCACCTTGTTTATTACAAAAAGGGTAAACTGGCCTCTTAGGGCATAATTACTAAAGTGCTAGTACCCTGAATAAGAGCATCCTTCCCCCACACTTTTAAATACCTCCTTCTGCCACTTTTCCTTTCCCTGCACTTCTTTGAAGTACATGCTAAAAAAGCCTTTATCTCATTTTGCTTTCCTTTCTAGCTCCATGCTGGATTTTCTTCTTTTCCTTGTCTGATATTTCAGATAAAATATCTCTATATTCTGCTTGCACTGTGTCTTATTTTCTTTCTATCTTATTTTGCATTGTCTGTTCCGTTTATATTGTCCCTTGAGATACTACTGCCAGTTGATTCTTATTTTCCAAACCAAAAGGCTTCCCTCAGTCCTTACTCTCTTTGACCTCAATGCTAATCACCTCTTCCTTTCAGGCTCCTCACTTGGGTAACATCCTTTCGCTGGCCTTCTATAGCTTCTTCCTTATTTTGCCCTCCAGCTGAACCTTGAGGCTTTTTCAAGGTTCAGAACTCTAATCATTTTCACAACTTTAGCTAATCACTTCTCAACAAGTATTATGGACTTCTCTCATTTCTCACATAAGATTTACTCCCATATCTAGATACCCTTATCAACATGATGGGTTCTTGGTTTTTAATGCTGTTTTTGCTGATTATTCTACATATTTTGTTGGTATCCATATTGTTTTTACTCAGGCTTAAAACCATGGGAGTCAATTTTATCCTGTTTTCCTCATCTTATATAAAGCAGTTGAGTATAGATCTGCAGTAAACTGCCTGGATTCAAATCCTGGCTCATGACTTACTAGGCTAGTGACCTTGGGGAAAGTTCCTTAACCTCTCTGTACCTCTATTTTCTTATCTATAAAACAAGAAATAATAGAAACAGCCCTCATAGGGTTGTTGTGAAGATGAAGTGAATTTATTAATAGATGCATATAGTGAATGCTCACTGTCAGCTATTATTGTTTTCTAGTTATTACATTATCTGATATTAAGTCTTATTAACTCATTCGTATTATTCTCATTTTGTCATTCCCCCAATTAAAAGTATGATTATCAGATGTGTGAATTATTATAGTAACCTCATAATAGGAGCTGCATATTTTTCAAGTCACTTAAATGTGCACACTATCCTATATGATGGTGATTTTGAGTAAATTTTTTTTTTAATATTTATTTTCATTTACTTATGCATACAAGAACTAGGGTACAGGCCAGAGGTGTGGAGGGTGAGAGGATTCACCAGAGACAGAGTGGGGGACAGAACAGGCAGATCTACTGAAATACACTGCTGAGGGGAGCAGCGGGCGAGTCAGGAGAGGTCTGCTGCACCATGTGGGTCTCCTCCCTGGTCGGGATCGAACTCGTGCTGCAGTGGTTGCTGATAGCTTCGTAGGTTGTATCTTAACCCCTTGCACCACTAGGAAGGTCCTTAAGTAAATTTTATAGCATTATTTATGCATTGTTAAGATTGCAGTTTTAAGAAAAACTAAGCATAAAGTTTCAGTTCATTTGACCTTTCCTGTAACGTTGTGCATTTTTCCACTAGGGGGCAAGATAATGTCATGGGAGTTAAATACTGTTTTAGGAAGAATGATCATGTGGTTATTGCAATGCCGTATCTGGAGCATGAGTCCTTTTTGGTAGGTTTTACTGTTCTTGAATTTTTATTAGCTAAATGTTTCAATGAAAATAATTTTATGACCTTATTCACAACTTTATTTTAGGATATTTTGAATTTGCTTTCATTTCAAGAAGTACGGGAATATATGTTTAATCTGTTCAAAGCTTTGAAACGCATTCATCAGTTTGGTATTGTTCACCGTGATGTGAAACCAAGCAATTTTTTATTTAATAGACGCCTGAAAAAGTGAGTATGTCAGGTTACTAGAAAATATTTACATTTGATTGAATTTGTGTTGTGGGTCCATCAGACATAACTGTAGTAGCACAGATTTTTTTTTTTTATTCCAAATTTTCATTTGATCAGGGAAGGGAAATACAGTGAAGGAAAAGGTAAAATTATATTAGTAAAGCTATGTACATCATTAGATGTTCCATGGCCCAGTAGAAATAGCATTTAGCTGAATGAAACTTAGAAAGGGTCTAGTCCTTTTTGACCTTAGCACATTTCTCTTAATCTAGGATTTTTTTTTTCCTAACAAATGAGGGGATTAGACTACATTATAGTCTGAATACTGAAATTCTGCTTGTATGTGTATTTCTTATGCCAATCATATATATAAAGGCCTAAACAGAAAATAAATACTGCATTTATACAATGAATCAGTCATACTGAGTATGGCCAGAAGAATAGAAATTACAACTTCTTTCCTTGCACTTTTATAGTCTTGACCTTTCTCTTTAATTAGATCATGGTTATAGTTTATTTTTCTTTTAAACTTAACGTTTAATTAAAAATGATCTACTGTGATGCCATCTCTGCCAACAACAGAGAACAAAGAATTGTGCTTATATTCTGCGCTTCTTGTCTGCCTTTGTCAACAAAATCCATTGGAAAGGGGAAAAAAGATTTTTGTGCAAGGGTTAGATATATCTTTTTTTAAAAAAATATTTATTCATTCATGCATACAAGAGCTGGGGTACAGTCCCAGAGGTGCTGGGGGTGAAAGGTGGGGAACAGAACAGGCAGATCTACTGACATGCACTGCTGAGGGGAGCAACGGGCAAGTCAGGAGAAGTCTGCTGCACCATGTGGGTAGCTCCCTGGCTGGCTGGGGATTGAACTCATGCTGCAGAGGCTGTGCATAGTTTCTAGGTTGTGTCTTAACACCTGCGCCACCAGGGAGGCCCCGGGTTAGATATATCTTTCCTTAATTTTCAGTCCTAGTTAGCTGTTAAGTCCTTACCGTATCTATAAACCTTATTTTTCTTTTCTCAAGAATGTTTTACGTTTTAATTGAGGAATAATTGATATATATGTATATAAATTCTTAATTGAGTCCTAAAAGAATTGCAGTTTGTGAATAAATACGGTTTGAGCATATTATGATGTTACTAAGCTTTATTAGTTCCAGAAAAGTGAAAATGCTTACTTTTGTTTCTTAGGTATGCTTTAGTAGACTTTGGTTTGGCCCAAGGAACCCATGATACGAAAATAGAGCTACTCAAATTTGTCCAGTCCGAAACTCAGCAGGAAAGTTGTTCACAAAATAAATCCCATGTAATCACAGGAAACAAGATTTCTCTGAGTGGCTCAGGAGCACCTAAAGAGCTGGATCAACAACCTGCCACAAAAACTTCTGTTAAAAGGCCTTATACAAATGCACAAATTCAGAGTAAACAAGGAAAAGATGGAAAGGTTCTCTTTTATTTCTTAAGTACTAACACGGTTTTAGAATTACACTCCTTCACCAACAGAGGGAGATATGATACTGGGATATACTTGCAGTTAAAAAAATTATTTAATATTTATTATGTATTCTGTCAACAAGATTTTTCACTAAGATTTGTAATGGATGGTTTAACTATTTCAAATCTAAAATTTACTTGGTAGGTTTATAATGTCTTTGCCATTACAGTTGTATTATACAACAAAAAGTAGAAATTAACAAATTTCCCTGCATGTTATAAAGTTCAGATTAATTATCTTTTTTTTTTTTTAAAGCACTAGTTGTAGGGGAAAAATTCTGAAGTGTCTATCTCCATTTTAGCTGCACAGTAAATGTAACATCCATGCAGGTGATTTTTGAAATTTTTAAGTTATATATATTTGTGGACTATGATAACATTGTATGGGTGTTTAGAGTTCTGTCTAGACTATTTTTTCCTTTCACAGAAGTGTTTTGGTACCTAAGAATGACTTGGATGCAGCTGTTTTTGTTTCATGTCACTTAACTCTTTCAAAACTATGGCAGAGTACAGCTGGCAGAAAGTGTTACAGATATAATCCTTGTTTTCCCTGTTTTTTGTTGGTATTGTAGGAAGGATCTGTAGGCCTTTCTGTCCAGCGCTCTGTTTTTGGAGAAAGAAATTTCAATATACACAGCTCCATTTCACATGAGAGCCCTGCAGTGAAAGTAAGTAATGTAGCTTAATAGTGCAATCATCAGTCAGTTGTACACTCCAGAGGATTTAGGGAATGACTAGATTAGCATTTGTTATCAGTAAGTCTTTAGAGTTTTGCTTCAGCAGAGGTATTAATGTTTTGAGCATCTAGTCAGTGCTCTTATATTTTCCAGTTTTTTTTCCTCAACCTTTCTGGTAGATTTTTTCATCATTTTTGGTTACCTTATTATTGTTGCTCTTTCTCTAGAGGAATATTTAGAATATTAAAACCTTTTCTCTCTTGGCTATCATGTGAGCTCCCAACAACTAACACATTTCGACACACAGTAAATAGTGTAAAGATATATGTAAAGTTTACAAAATAGCCTTTGATGTTAAATAGTTTTTAAAGTAATTTATGATATTCTGTAATAGATAGCATGAAAAACAAATTGAAACTGAGTTTAGCCAGTGTAATTGTGCAGTTTACAGTTCTGAAATGGAGTTAGACACTAGAGCATCACTCTTTTATACTTTTGTAACATACCAGGAAAAGTTCTAATAAAGTGTAAGTCAGTATTTGCCAAACTAGGACTGATTAGTGAATCTTAATATGTTTGTTCAAGCAGAAGAACCTAAAAAGGCTTAAATATTTTAATAATTTACAATCCAGTGGTTTTAAAAGTTATGCTTCTATTGTTGTGTTTGCCATACTAGCATTTGAAGGCCCCCACTTAAATGTTAATGGAAATAGAAAATGCAACTTTCTTTTACAGCTTATGAAGCAGTCAAAGACTATGGATGTGCTATCTAGAAAGTTAGCTACAAAAAAGAAAGCTGTTTCTACAAAAGCTGTGAATAGTGGTACAGTGAGGAAAACTTCTAGTTCTTGCCCATCTAGTCTGACCTGTGATTGTTATGCAACAGATAAAGTTTGCAGTATTTGCCTTTCAAGGTAATGTATTTTGATGGCTTATAAAATTACCAGCATTGCATTAGTTTTGGAAGACAACTGATAGAGTTGTGTGAGAGGAAGCAGCACAATTTCGGAACTACATATGCACTAGTGCAGAGAAAAATACCGTGAAGAACAAAGACTATTGGCATGTGTTGTTTATTTGACATATATATACTTTTTGGAAAATTTACTTGCTCTTAGAGGCAAATAATTTTGGTTTGGGGTAGCTTAAAATTGGATATTTTGCTTGTGGATAAACTTTTTGTTTTCTTTATTCCTGCTGATGTAGAATAACCAGAACCAAAAAATAGGTGTCCTCTCTCACTCCCACCTGTTACATTTCACCGTGATAATTCCTCCCACCCTTTCAAGAGTTGACTTTGAGTTTTCTCTGATTGACTCAAGTACAAAAGTGACTATATCAGTAATTAATCACTTGAAACAAATGATTTTTATGTCTCTGAATTGCTGTTGTGTTCTGTTTTTCTATTATGGCTCTTACCATCTAACCATCTGCTACCTCTTTTTTTTTTTTTTTTTTTCAAATAATAAATTTTATTTTTATATTCCCCCATACAATTGCAAACGCCCCATTCTGACCCCAATCCTTCCCCTCCCGCCCCCCACCCCCCAAAAAGTGTCTCTGGTTCATAGTTTTTTGTTGATTTTGATTTTCACTTTCTTATATTCATTTTTATACCCGGAACTATGAACTGGGGGATGGGGGAGAGGACTGTCTTTATTCTGAATTATAATTTGCATTGTAATAACTTGTGTAGATTTTATTGTGACTTAAATTGATAAATATTTTTGTTCTTAAATAATTAAGCTTTAATATAACTAGAAAAATCTTATTTGTTATCATAAGGCGACAACAGGTTGCTCCTCGGGCAGGGACACCAGGATTCAGAGCACCTGAGGTCTTAACAAAGTGCCCCAACCAAACTACAGGTAATTTGCACTAGAAATACAGACCCAAATAAAATTAATTACCCAGGCATAGTTTATTTTATGATCTCTGTCTATTTATAACCAATATTTGAGCTCTGCTGCTTTTAATAAAATTATATACATGATTTTAGCAATGTGACAGTCCCATTTTTGAGCTAATGCTATTTTTGAAAGAATCTAATCCTAGTGTGGCTGTTTTCCTTTCACATTTTTTTTTCTATTCATTGCATTTTGCTTATCTGTTTGCAAGATGTTGGGGGAAAATTGTATCTAGTATTTTTGCTAACTTAAGACTGGCAACATTTTATCTGTTTGCTTAGTACCTCAGAAGTCAGAAGATTGAAAAAAAATTGAAAACAATATAATGGCATTGCATTTTTGAGAAGGAAAATTCTCTAATCTAAAAAAGTTGTCATCAACCCAGGTTCCAGGAAGCATCTATTGAATAGATGAATCTTGCAATTCACTTGGATTACAGACTTTAAAGAAATGCATTCATTCATCAAGTGTTCTGTATTTGCTAAAAATATAAAAGATTAATAGAACTATCTGTTTACATTATAGTCAGACACATGCTTAAATAATTATAAAATAACCTGTTGAATATGGTGATAAAACTGTATACAAGATATTTGAAGGATTTCTAACTGCCCTTACCTGAAGGGATTTTGGAGTAAGTTACATGGAGGAGATATGGACAAGAAAACAAAAATGCACAAAGCGTTGGTCCTAGTAGGAATCAGGAACCCTTTGAAATCTCCTTTAAATATAACTAACTTTTATGTTGTTGGCACATAAATTGTTTGTTAGTCTTGATTAAACCTGTGTTTCTCTTTTTAGAATAATGTCTTAAATATAATCTCTGAAAACAGAGTATAAATCGGGATTGAGGTTTTTCTTTGAGGCAGGAGTAGAGGAACTCATGAAATAGCATACAGGAAGCTATAAAAAGTTTAGTGTTTCTATAATGTAAAATGGAAGTTAAGAAATGCTAAGAAGTAAACCTGAAAAGATGTAGGTACAGTCAGATCACACTTGATAAACAATTTGGACTTCATTCTGTAGATGCTGGAAAGTTATTTAAGGGGAGAAGATAGTATGGTATGCAAGACATATGTGCAAGAAAGATAGAATTTGGAGAGTGGTATCCTGAAGGGGTACAGAGAGATGATGAAAACTTAACTGAGGGCACTAGTAATAGGAATGATAGAGGAAGAATTAGAAAGGCTCTGCCTTGTGATAATTGGGTGTAGGAAGGTAATGTAAAAAGGCATCCAGGATGTTTATCACATTCATCACTTGGGAAAGTTGAATGGGTACCAGTAATCAAGATGGGGAATAAAGAAGAAATAACATAATTGATTTGAGATATTTGTGAAACATCCAGATAGAAATGTCTTACAAAATAAAAGTAAGCACGTGGAAATCTGAACTAGAAATAAGTTGAGTGTCATCGTTATATATAAATGGTAGTTATGAAGTGAATGGACTAATCAGGGAGAGTTGAGAGGGAAGAGGCTTGGGGAAAATGTTGAAGAAGCAGCCAGAGGTACAAAGTGAACTAAGAAAGTCAGATGATGCAGTTGCCAAGAGATAACTTCTTGATATTGGGAGGTCAGCAATTAGGAGAAAAGATGATCCTAGGAGAAAAAAATGTGGGTTTTTTTGGAGGGTGGGGAGGACACATTGTTTTTTGTTTGGGGGTGGTTTTTTTTTGTTGTTGTTGTTTTTGTTTTTTTTTTGTTTTTTTTTTTTTTAGGTAACATTAGATCACAACACTGCATAAGTTCCAGGAGGACATTTTCCCATCTCCACAACTGCATATATCTCACCACACCCACCTCTAAATATTGGAGTTTCTTCTCCCCATTCCTACCAGTGGGTCCCCTCTGGTTACCACCTTTCTATTGTCAGGGGGTTTTTTTGTTTTGTCTTAATGAATTTCTTAACATGCAAGTTAATTGGTCTTAACCTTAAGTGCCAAAATTCTGAAGATTAATTTTTGTATAAAAAAGTAAGGGTTAGCACCTTGCCAAGGAAGGGTTTCTGATGTTCAATACTTCTCACTAAAGTGAAAACCTTTCACTAAGATGTATAGTTCTTGAAAAGCATGCAGATTTTTTCCAATGTTGCTATTTTTCAATTTCTTTTGATCTTATAAAATGTGCATTTACTTAGTGTTTTGCAATAATGAAATATCTTTTTAAACTTATCAACATGTTGCTCAAGAAAGCAAACAATGTGTTTTGTATTAAGGATGTTAAACCAAGGATTCTCAATCCTGGAATTGTATTTAAAGTCCCTGAGGAACTTTAAAAAAGATACCGATGCCTGAACCCTACTCCAGAATAATTAAATCAGAATCGCTGAGGCATTCGGCCTATGCATCAGAATTTCTTTTAAGGCTCTCAAGATGATTCAGATGCACAGTGAAGGCTAAGGATTACTGATGCAGATGACAGAATCAGAGTATTTTTAAAGTTTGTTTTCTGTTACAGCAATTGACATGTGGTCTGCAGGTGTCATATTCCTTTCTTTGCTCAGTGGACGATATCCATTTTATAAAGCAAGTGATGATTTAACTGCTTTGGCTCAAATTATGACAATTCGTGGATCCAAGGAAACTATCCAGGCTGCTAAAACTTTTGGTAAGTAATTTTTTTATGTTATAGAACAAAAGAAACATGCCTCTGGCTATCACTTGCAAAGCATTTAATAAATTATCAGTATTACAAAATTCTCTTCAAATAAACATTCTGTGTTCATAACGTTCTCTAATCTTAGGTAGAGAATTTCTCAATCACTTGAAAATAAATAGCATTGTTAAGAAAATAGTCTGTCATCAGTTCTGTTCGGTTAATCATTTAATCTTATCAAGTACAAACTATTATATTTCTCCACTATTTATAATTTTAAAAGAATAAGGAATAAAATCTTAATTCTTTGTATTTGTGGCTTGATTTTATCATACAAATATCATTAATAATGTTTTAGTTTATTGTATATTTATTAAGCATCAGTTACTCTTAGGCCTGTCTTAATTTATCTTAGTCTGTACACACAGCATATATTCTGTTGTACAGAAATGAGAGCATGTGGATTTCTATGTTCCTTAGGGTTAAAGTAGCAGAGAAGAGAGATGAACGAAACACCTGTACTGATTGAACATTATTGTAAACATGTATTAGATGTAGGAAATCATCTCCTTAGCTACACAAGTTCTTGTACTTCAACACTTGTGTACTTTATGGGACATCCAAAAATTATCTCAGCCTTGCTCTGATCAACAACTTAAATGTCCACTTTGTATTTATTCTTCATGTACACTGTAGTTAATGCCTTGCAGAGAATGGTGTGATTGAGTCAGTGTGCTGTCATACCATATGGTACACCCCTTTGGGGATAAAGTTTCAGTCCGCCTGTCACAAGAGTAGGTGGGCTGCTTTATGCCCGGCCCCTGGATCAGTGCTACAAGATAATTATCTGACTGTTGTCTCACCCCAGCAGGTTAGGATAATAAAATTCAGAATAATAGGATATGGAGAGAGTCCAGACTTGTTAGTTTGAAAAACAACTGATAATAACCAAGAACTGCTTCTAGCTAGGAACCACAGTGAAAATGATTGTCCTGTGCTTAGTTAGGTACCAGTGCTGTAGTTTCATCCATCAGAAACAAAAACTTAGTGGTGGCTGTGAAGAAAGCTTCCTAATGGAGGCTAACCAGGAGATGTTTCTGCAACAAAGCCAATCCATAACTGGTACCTTTCTTGTACCTAGTATAAGAGAATTTTATCTGCGGGTAATAGGATAGAATAATAGATACAGACAAGGGTAAAGTAACCAGGAGTAGAAAGCAAAACTTACACTTTAGAAATTGTATTCTTACTTTAGCATGCTTATTCTCTACTGGTTGAAAAAACTTAGCTCTGCTATTCAATAACTTCATAAGAAGTTTATGGACATAATGGTTATCAGACAACACTACAACATTTTGTTGAAGAGCTTAAATCTCTACCACCTGTAGTCAAAATCATACTGAAAACCAACGTGGAAGTACAACATCTGACAAAAACGCTCCAGAGCAAGTGTCAGGCTAGCCGGCAAGGACCTTTAGAGATTTATTATTATAATGGTTGTTCTCATGATTAAAAAATAATGCTTTGCAGCACCTGTTGCATGTTTTTTTAGTATGACTTCTGTGGTTATTTCAGTCAAAATTTACTATAACTTTGCGCTGAATATAAATGAAGCTGTGGAAGTCCCCAACATCCCTTAATAAGTCACTGCTTTTTGCTCCCCCCACTTTATGAATCGGTCTTCAGTGTAGTACAATACACACTTTAGTATGTGGTTCTCCAGTTCATACTCAGCATAAATATACTTGCAAAGGACAGTTTGACTTGCAAGTTTCTCACAAAGAGTTTTCTGATATATTCAAATAGTATAAAATATGTTATTTTTTTTCTTTTTTAGGCAAATCAATATTGTGTAGCAAAGAAGTCCCAGCACAAGACTTGAGAAAACTCTGTGAGAAGCTCAGGGGTATAGATTTTAACACTTCCAAATTAGTCAGCAGTTTACAGAAGCCTGCGTCTCATGACCCGGCTTTTTTAGGGAAATCTGCCCAGAATGACCCCATACAAACACTTCAAGCACAGCACTCGGGGAATTCACTGTATAAAGGGGGCAGCAATGACTCTGGGGGTCGGTCTGATGAGTGTGCTACCAGTTTAGAAGGCTGGGATGAGGTGCCTGATGAAGCTTATGACCTGCTTGACAAACTTCTAGATCTCAATCCAGCTTCAAGAATAACAGCAGCAGAAGCTTTATTGCATCCCTTTTTTAAAGACATGAGCTTGTGATTATCAAGTCTTCATTTAATGTTTGCTGTTGTATATTGTGAGGTGGGTTGAAAAAGAGTTCTTTGTGTAATAGTCATAAGTTATTGATTAGAGACCAGGACAAGATGAATAATTTATTTTTAAATTGAAGTATTTGCTCTCAAGGCAGATTCTGAAATACAGATTAAGATTGCTTAAGGGGCCTGGGGTCATTCTTTGGACTAACAATGGGTCTTTCGGTTAGAGATACCCGAGCATATTCAAATTTTTAGTTTTCCCTAATATTTCACTGTCATATGCAGATAAAGGAGCAGTGTTATCCTAGTACATAGGGATTCTAGATGCAAGTCAGTAAATTAATGGATATTTCAGGGATTAAAATATACCGTGCAGTGTCTAAACTAGGTCAGAAGACTTAGTTTATTGGTTTCTTAAAGCTGTGATCTGTGTCCTTTTAAAAAACCTAACCTGATTCTGGTGTTCTGTCCATTCTGTAGGTAAAGAAAATAATTTCCTCTCTTGCAGATGTATATGTTGTATCTTTCATGAACACTAAACAAGTACTGAGAAAATGTTTGTCATGTCTGGTGGGGGTGGGGAATATCACATAAAATTACACCTTTCCATTTTTAGAGTATTTTTTGAAAGCATTTTTTGCGTGAATTGCCATGGTTTCTTAATGATTTCTCTCACTTTTTCTGCCTTCTTAACCCCCACGTAATACAATCTCCTTGGAATTAATATGGTGCTTTCAAAACATTTCTGGGTGCTTAGTTAAATGTTGCTTATGTTTACAGTTAGAATCTTAAAATAATGCTACACTGGTTGAAAAAAAGGGACACTTCAGGGCCAAGGTGAAGATTAATAGTCCAGAATGCTTTTCTTTTTCAGCTGTATGCTTTTTCACACCATCTTAGGTAGAATTAGGTAGCTGCTGAAAGGAAATTGACAAGCAGAATTGAATCTATTGCACATTTTTCCTTTACGTGACGCCATCAAGAGCTATATAACCTATTGGACTAAGTTGGCTCTACTCAAGGAAGAATGAAGATTGGGGTCTTGGGTGGATTGGTAAGAGATAGTGAAGTAAGCAAAGTAGAAAAGGACCTAAGATAGAAGTTTATGTATTACTGTATGCCAGAATGATGTATAGCAACGACAGCTATCCAACTTCTTGTGAGAAGTCAGTCTGGAAGTGAGGAATGGATCTGCTGAGAAGTTTCCTATTTTGTAGTCATAGAGTATAGAAACAGCGTAAGGATATAATATTCATTTTGTTATTTGACCATGAAGTCAGTTTGTCTACCTAATCTATTGCTAAATATAATGTGTGTGTGTATGTATCTACACCATTACCTTTGATCTGTCTTCTCATACTATAATTTTTTAAAAACCTAAATGTTCTTGAATTTGTATGTTTAATAAAGTTATCCTTTTATTTTTTTATGTACACTATTCATTTGTAAAAATGATAAAAAAAATTAACCACTGAGTGTGTTTTCCTTCTGAGATTGAAATGTATGTTCTCTTTTCAGCACACAGTAGGTAGTGAATTAACAAATATTGACCTGGCTCAAGTAGTATATGAAAGATAGAAGTAGATTTGTCCATAGAGAAGGTGCTAACCTGATTACATTTATAGGATATTTGTCACAAATAATAAAGCAAACCATAATGAAATCTTTACTCAGCCAAAAATAATTTTTCAGCATGACTCACAAGTTAACATATTCTCAGAGAACTGATAGGGGAAAAAATTATCACAAGAGCAGAGAAGGGGTTCTCTAAGGATATTTAATATTCAGGACTTTTTTCAATTTTCCATTAATGTTACTTAGAATAGAACTTGGTTGATATACAAGGGGAGGTAGAAGGAGTTAGTATTTTAAAAGGTATCTGATGTTGCAATTTAGGTGTCAGGAAATTTCAAACCCACTAGAAAATGGTATATCGATTTTGGCAAATAAAAATTATGAAGGAATTTCCATACACATATTCAGGTTTTTCAGCCTTCTGAACATCACTTTATTATGTCAGCTCCCTAAAAGCTTCTAAGTTAGGCAAAACAGTCATTTCTAGGGAAGAAGGTAATTTCCTATTATTATGGAAGTTCCCGGAATATTTGACTATTTTTCATTGTCAACTTTATAAAATTGTTGCTGACACTCGAAACTGTTAAGGATGTTTTCATTTAATAAACTAGACATTTACAACTATAAGTACAACAAGCTACAAGTATTGGTTTTTGAAACAGACTGCAGTTCCCTAGCATTTTTAATGAAACTTTTCCTTATAAGGGGATGATTATGGTTGCCTTAATGACCTAAATAAAAATGTGGCTCAAGAATGATTATTCCAAAGAATTAAACTTAAGTTTATTTTAAAATCTGAACGAAAGTCATCAAGCAATGTTAATCTCATGTTTCTGGCATCAACATTTTTAGAAACAAAAGGGTGTTACAGATGTTAGTATATTGATTGCATAAAATCTTGAAACCCACAAAACATTTAGGCTTATGTCTTAGTAATTTCTACTGTTTGTGTAATTTCAGTACTATGCATCACCAAAAAGTTATTTATTTTAAACCATGGCCAAATTTGGCGGGTAATGCCAGTGTCAGCAGATGTATTGTTTCCGCCTGCAATTGTGCATGCTGTCTGTCTGGTCTTTAAAGAACACTATCTAACACTAGGCAGAAATGTCAACACGGTTCAAATTTTTTCCTGTGTTCTTAGAACTGATGTTTCCTAATGTTGTCAAATTGTGTTGGAACTGCCTGTCTTGAAAGGTGGATATTTTCACCCATGTACTAGATAAGTAATCAGAATTAGTTAATGCTCTGTCAAATTACAGCAAGATTTCCAACAAAGTAACTACAAAGGTCAGTGCTTTAGAATTTAGTAAATAATGGCATTTTAAATACCTAAGTGAGAAGGCATAAACCTTAGGAAAACCATTGTAAACTGGATGAGAAAATTATAAAAATGAAGTTCAGGAAAGCAATTGCAAAATAGTTTTGAGCTTAATTTGTCTGACCTAATTTTTTTCTCAATAGAAGAAAGTGATTTAAAAGAATAAAATTGCCCTTGACCTTTGTTTTCAGTGCTTTAAATAATTAACCAAATTTAAGATGATATAGTAAATTCAAAAGGATAAGCAAAGTAACTGGGAATATACATAGCTTGTATAAGGCAAGAAAGATGACTAGGAAAAGATGTAAACGATTTAGAATTTCAATTTAAGCATGCACTGTATTCAGAATGTCCTTTAAAATTTAACACATTATACTCTCCTAGCCGTTAAATTGGTTCCATCAAAGACCCTGTGAAACACTAGAGAATGTAATCTGATGAAGAAAAATCCATCAGATTTTAGTACTACATTTAGGGAAGGTCAATGTCACGCTCTCTCGTCAGGAACCAAGAAGATGAATCAAAGGATAGGCTTCCTACATCCTGAAATCAGAACAGTGACAATAACAATGACAAATAGGGCATGAGTAGCACAAATGAGAGAACAAAGGAAATACCTGATAATTTTTCTAATCAGAATTTTTGCATATGTTTTTAACTACATTGTGTGGATGTGTCTGTGTATGCGGTTAATTATGCATTCACCCTTTGTGTAAATTCCGTCTAACTTATCCTAAGACTAACACATGATCTAGAAATGACTCCAACTACAAGACCGAGAAAGTAAATTAGAAACAGATGTATGGCTCTGTAGCCTCACGTTGTGTTATCTGTCCTAAGAAAAAGGAGAAGCGGTCCGAGGGATCCAGCCACCTCCAAATTTCTCGACATTCATCTTGATACCTTTTCACTCAACTTCTGGTGAGTTGTTGGTCTTCCTACTCTCAAACATTCTGATTAAAAACAAAACCAGTCCCACTGTATGTGTATGTATGTGAGTCATCTTCAGACAAGTGCTAGCAATGTTCCTTCACACTTTCCCCACCTGAGGTTTGTGAAATGAATGCCTCCTGTTCTGCGAATGTCCTTCCATCATTTTTTGATTTTAGAACTATAGCAAATATGTGCTCATAAAAAGGAAGCTCCTTCCCACTTTTGTGTGTAAAAACCAGTGTCTTAACATCTCTTTCCTGTGTGCTATGAGGAAGCACATTTCTTCCTTGCCCGGATAAGGCTGACTAGACTAGTGCCTGGCATTACTGAGGTGTTCAATAAATGTTTGTTCAGTGAATGCAATTAAAGTACATTTAATTAATGAATTTGCTTTCTGGTTAAGCTATTAAACCAAAACCTCTCAATAAGGTTACCTCTATTTTCCTTAGCTTGGTGCAATTTATTTGATAGGGAATGACACCAAATGGGAAGATGGAAGACCTCATTCCTAAGTACACAATCTCCTTCCAGTAGACTCTTCTTGCCCCACAATCTCCTTCCAGTAGACTCTTCTTGCCCCACCCTCCGCCCCCCAATTACTATGTAGTTTAGATGAAGATAGAATTTTGATGCCATCCTTTAGGGTCAGAATAGCCCTTAAGAGATATTTGGATGGGGCCTCCCCAATGGCACAGCGGTTGAGCGCTGGGTTGCGAAGCTGCCTGCAGCCTCTGCAGCACCGGTTCGATCCTCGGCCCCTGGGCGAGGGTCCCACATGGCTCACAGACCTCTCCTACCGCCTGCTGCTCCCATTAGCAGTGTACTTCGTCAGTCTGCCTGCTCTGCTCTCCACTCTGGCTCTGGTGAATTCTCTCACCCTCCCATGCTTCTGACTGTACCCAGTGCTTGCATAAATAAATAAAAATCTTTAAAAAAAAACTATGTTTGAGAAACACTTGAAACAATCTTTAAAAAAAAAGGGGGGGGGGAACATTTGGATCTTTCATTGCCATTACCTGTAATGCCTTTCCCTCCTCTCTCTCTATCCCAAATGTATTTACTCATACTAAGTAATCAAAGGTCCTATTTGGCCTACAAATCCTTTCCTCATCCATTCAAAGGATCATTTTCTTGGTTTTCTATAAAATAAGTTATAAATTTCTGGAAGGTAGAGACTGTACCGATCCCCATTGAAGACTCATTATTCAGTTGAACTTTAGAGGTTGACTAGGATCCTGACACCAGGAGATGTCTCCAAACCCTAGGGCAATCCCAACCTCAGGAAAGTCCCCTCTTATTCTTAAACATTGACAGGATTGTACTGTTTTCCACTGTCCTAACACTTCCCAGTACCCCCCACCCCATCCCATCCACACCAGTTCTAATAGCTCCATTCTGATTTGCTGGTGCTCCATTCCATTGCTTTGACTTCAGGGAAGACAGAGCAGCTGTTGGACAGACTTGTCTGTAATAACCCTTCGCATCCTTGTATAACAGGCAAGTGAACCAAAATTTCTTAATTATTATAGTCAGGTTTTTAGCTTATGTTTAGCCAAACAACCATAGCAATAAAAAACTTGAATTGTTCTAAGGATTTGTAAGTATAAAGTACTGTAGGAAAGCATGATACACAATTATGCTTTGCCAATGTGATTCATCTTCGTACATGCAGGACCCTATTCATCTTGGGTTTTTCTGAGGCAGCTTTAGTTCCCCAAAATGTCAACCCTCATTGATGTTTTCTGAGAATTCCAACATTTCTGCATTCAAACTGCATTTCTAAGAATGTCTCTCTTAACTAGAAGTAGTGGAAAATTGTTAGAAATTTATTCCAGTTTTTTTTTTTTGTGCAAAACAATTTTTATTTATTTTTTTTCATTCATTTATTTTTTTTATAATAAATTTTATTTTTATATTCCCCATACAATTGCATCCCCCCCATTCTGACCCCAATCCCTCCCCTCCCACCCCCCAAAAAGTGTCTCTGGTTCATAGTTTTTTGTTGATTTTGATTTTCACTTTCTTATAGTTATTCATTTTCCTGGTCCCTTATTTAAGTTTTCTAGATTCCTGCTATGAGTGAGACCCTCCGGTATTTTTCTTTTTCTTTCTGGCTTATTTTGCTGAGCATGATCTCTTCCAGCTCCATCCATGTTGCTGCAAATTGCATGTGTTTACCTTTTTTGAATGCTGAGTAATATTCCATGGTGTATATGTACCACATCTTCTTGATCCAGTCATCTATTTTTGGGCATTTGGGCTGTTTCCAAAGCTTAGCTATTGTAAACAGTATTCCAGTTTTTTTAGCTTTGAAGATAGATCCATTATATACAAAGTAAAAATCAAAATCGACAAGCAACTTTAAACCAGAGACACACTTGGGGGGGGAGAAGGGTGGGAAGAGGAAGACTAGGGTCAAAATAAGGGGGGGGTGCAATTGTATGGGGAATGTAGCCAAAATGAAAATGCATAAATTATGCAAAAATGAAAAATGAGGTAAGAATTATATAAAATACAATATTTTTTTAAAAAAGATAGGTCCATTATAACCTAAGTGGCATTTGGGGCATTGTCTGCTTTGGGAATCAGCTGATACGCATGTTATTGAGTAAAACAGATATTCTCCCAATGTCTTTTGAGCACCTAATATGACATTAAGTATTTGTGGGAAACGAATGTCCCCTTAGAGTTTCTTGATTAAAAATAAATAAATAAATAAACCCAAACTAGAGACAGAAAAATATAAAGGGTTTAGCCAGATCTAGTTCTTTCTTGTACTGTGGATCTTGGTTTCTTCAGCTGCAAAATGAGGTTTATATGCCTTCCTCGTTGGAGGAGTGAGAGCATGCTTCCTTAGCGTTATCACACAGTACAGAATTGTTTCCTTCCCGACTTCCTTTTTTCCTCCCTGGTTTCCCTTCACCTCTCCTACAGGGGAGCATTTCATTTCCTGAGAATATCTTATATATTTCTTGCCAACCTACCTCCCTCTCCTTATCTCCCCTTCTCCCTCCTCTGCCTCTTTTCTCTCTCTCTCTCTCTCTCTCTCTCTCTCTCTCTCTCTCTCTCTCTCTCTCTCTCTCTCTCTCTTTCTCTCTCTTGCAATGCGAAAGTGTCCTTATCTGGGATGATGTGAGCCTGAACAATAGTCATGCTAATTTTCTGTATATTTTGATGTTTTGCCTATTCATCAGATGGTAGGAGTTCTTTGGTATGTGAGCTGCCCAGACATGTTGGGACTGGTGTATCAGTAAGGTTATAACTTTTCTCTAAAAGAGAAAAGAGGGTACACAAAAATACTGGTCCTTACACAATTAAAACAACTTTACCAAGCAGAGGGGATGCTAGTGATCATCTACCACACCCTCATCTTTTCCAGCCACAAACTTCTCAAATGTTCTACAACTTCCCCTCTGGGTTTCTGCATATCCTACCTCCTTTGCCTAGAACATTTTTCCCCCAAACTCCTAGCCTCTGTCATCTGCCTAACTCCTTTTTCAGCTTCAGGGCTCAGTTCAGACATAACAGCTTTTAGGAAGCCTTCCTTGCACTATACCCTTCCTCTCTGATCTCTGGATCCTTCTCATCCTTCAGTATCCTGCCCAGATATTACCTCCTCAAGCAGGCCTCCCAGTTTACTTATTTGTCATCTCTTCCTCTAGCACCTAGAATAGTGCTTGGGACAAGTAGGCACTTAAAACCCTGTGATAAAGAATGACTGCTCTCACAGCTTCCAGTAGTCTCCTTTCATTCCTATGTGACAGTATATGCTGCCAGTCCCTCCTATTTATCTGTATCATCTACTAGATTCTTAACTTCTTATTTTATGCACCATTATATCATCAGTGTCTGGCACAATATCAAGGCTCAAGAAATAATAGTCAAAAAATGAGCATACATAGCTATAATAAATACATATGCAGACAGTAGGGCTACAGCAGAGCAAATAATTTTGTTGTTTTTTTTTAAAGTTCAATAAAGCAGAGAAAGGGTACCAAGACCAAGATGGGGTTCCATTTTGCTTAAACAGCATCTGTACATTCAGGGTCCAGATGGGCTTTTAATATCAACTGCACTAGATAGATCATGGCCTGAATTCTCAATAAAAAAATTTAGAATTAATGACTAGCTTTGTAGGAAGTGAAATATGGTTTGCAGAGCAAGTGTTTGGGAAGCCACAGAAGATTTGAACAGACAGAAAAGA